TAAAATAAATTTGTTAGAAAAGTATTACTGATTAAACTTCAGCTTTAATAACATGAGGGTACATACTTTTTAAAGTCAACCTTCCACCCAAAACAATGAGAGTGTTATAAAGCCTCCTCAAGGGTGTGTTTGTTTCCTTCTGCTGGGTCTGCCTGTGTGTTCTATCAATTGTAGTAGCATCCATATGGTAGCACCTGTTTTTCTGCACTGTAAGAAAAACCAATGTCAGCTTTTTGCTCCAAGGTAAACTTACAGTGAAGCTGTCCCCAAATCACCTTTCTTTTTTTTAACTGATAAACTGTCTAAATAGGCTATTTACGGTTCTTCTATTTGTATGTTTTTGTGCAAATGTTGACATGTTTGTGAAATTCATTTAGTTTGGCATAAAAGTGTCTCACTGCTGGCTTTCTTCAACTGTTGAATTTCCAGCGGTACAGCTTGGTGCAACTTTGTCACAGCCCCTGTTTGTGTATAAAAGCACAGAGCTCCCTGCTCCCACCCACTTGATGCCGAGTCAGAATTTGAAGTCGCAAGGATTGCCATGGCAACTGGCGAGCATTGATCAGTATTGTTCCTCAGCTTAACAAATGTGTGATTTATTTGTGATGTAGACACAGAGTGAAATGAATCTGCTCTGCTCTGACTGCAGTAGGTAAGAACCTGCAGTCAGAGCAGAGCAGATCAGCCAACTGATGCAACCTGCTCTTCACCGTCGTCCAATCAACGCTGGTCCAAGACATGTCACGTCCAATCAACGTCCAAGTCCTAGCTGATAAGGACCTCCATCCATGGCGTCTTCCGCTTTCCAGCAGAGCTCATCCCACCATGATCACTCCACCTCCACTCACCCAGCCATTCGGCCCCATTCTTCACCAACCTCCACCACCAGTGCTTGGTCCCTGGGAGATGACATTTCTATCAGTATCAGGAACGCACATCCAAGCTTATCGCAACCGATGTCCTCAGCCGGGGCCCAAGCGCCAAAGATTTTAAATTTTGTATGTCAATAAACTCTCTCCGTCTGAGTCTCTCCAGATTGAAACAGCGTTCTATTAAAATGTGTCAGAATGAGTTGTGCTGACTTAAGTTAGTCATCTATTAACAGTATCAGTTCTCAAAAATGTGAACTCCACTCATGAACAAACACTTGCTGTTCTTTCTCTTGGCCATCATCATTCTTGTGTTTTTCGTTCCTTCCTGTGGATGTTGTTGGAATAAGAATTTTAAAGTAGCACAATAGTACATAAGTTAACTTTTAGGTTAAGATAAACTTAGATACAGATCCAAACTGGGACAGCTGGTGACTCTCTGAACGCAGAGGAGTAGACAGAAAACAGGCCTAGACTCCTTGGATCTCTTTAGATAGGGAGTCTGTCTGCCAGGCAATTAACAAATTCCTGAGCATGGTTCAAAAGTTCACTAGGATCTTAAAACTTTTTATAAATAATTTTATCTATATTAGAATTAACTATATTTCTTTAAGCATGTTTTTAATTAGTTACTTATTAGATCCAAACTTATAGTCATTATTTAGGATTGTTACATTTTGTGCAAGCTTGGTTAAAAACACCAACTAGTTTCTTGTTAAAACATTTTGAGGCAGAGATAGCGCTGCAGCTGCAATCATATATCAAACTGGACAGCGGCTGGTACGAGAAGATCTAGGCCGTATATCTGCTTTTGGGGCTCTTTAGCAGGAGGTAATAAAATTAACATTAAGACAGCCCACACAAAGGAAAAGAACACACCTCCTAATGCATATATTTAAATGAGGAGAATACGCATTCTATAAAAAATGGTTTGTTTCACAGCAGAAGTTCGAATCTCTCTGTGCTGAGTGAGAGTTTCCCGGAGGATGCATCTTCTGTTAATCTTTTGTCTTTTTACTCAGTTCTTTGTCTCTGTTTTGTCATGTCTTGGACTTTTTGATAACTAGGTGAGATGCTTGCTGTAACATTCTGAACTGCATTGAATTTCTCTGGATAAAACTCTGAATATCTGAAGTCTGACGTCGTATGATTGCTCTTTTCTCTCTCTCCACACTTACACAGACACAGGAATTCGGGACAAAGAATTAATTAACGAGCTAAATCAAGTTACTCCTCTTTTTAATTCTTAACAATGTAAATAACCTGTTTTTTATTAACCTGCTCGCAGGCATTTCTTAATGTCAGAAAGAGCAAGGCAGATGTCCTGGTTGGACAAAGGGGAAGCAATGGGCTCAGCACATGTGGGGTCAATTTGACCCTTCGAGGATGGGGCATGAAAGCACCTCAGAAGTCCACTCCCCCTCTCCTGGGACTGTGGGGGAGTTAAATTCTGCTATTCACCTGTTGTCGTTTCCCACATATGACCCATGACCCATCTTTGTCACAAAGCATGACAGAAATAAGAATGAAGAGCCTTTCATTTGGGTAGTCAAAGTCCAGATCTGGCTAAGATATTCTATTGCATGGCCTGTTTGGAAAACCTCTCCAAGTCAAATTGTCTATTTGATGGTGTAAAAACATGCATTATATATATATTGTATATTAGACAAAATTTATCTTCCCTTTTTATTTGAATGGAGAGAAGTGTGAGGTATGAACAAATACTGAACACTATAATGCATTATTAATTTAAGTAGACAGAAAGTAAAATGAACCAGCAACACCACCTAGTTAAACTAGGGACAGAAAAATAGGAAAGCAATCTGGTTAAATTTTACAATAATTTATTACAATAAATTTATTGTGAGAAATTTCAGAGGGCAGTATCTAAATATTAAAACTAGCTAGAGAGAAGTCTGTAAGATATAAAAATAAAAAAATTGGAATTGCAATCAATAAGAGCCTCCAAGACAGGGAGGAAGCATGTAGTCTCAGCTAGAAGGGTCGAGTCATCCTCTTGTCATCTGTTCAGCTTCTCTTGGTGGCCTTGACCTCCAGCACTCAATCCTCTCTAAGTCAGTGCTTCTTGGTGACCTCGACCTGCAGAGAACCCCAACGCTCGGTCCCTGGCCCTGTTGTTGCGCAAGGTACTCCTTTCCCTCCCCTTCTAACTTCCTACCATTGAGAGGCTAACACACTCTCCCTGTGGAGACCAGCCTCCCCCAACTTATCTCTTTCTATGCGAGGGTTAACACCTAACTGAAACCTATTTTCATTGATTTGAAGAAGGCTGGTTGAACTTTGATGACCTCTAGAAACATTTCTTTATATCTTTAAAATGATAGCAGCACAAACAAAAACTTTTGCTGCACAAACCAGCATAAACATTTGACACCAATTTTGTCTGATTTGAAAAAGGTGGGGGGCCGACTTCACTCAGGTGCTATACCCTCTCTGGCACTTTAATCCCGAGTCTGCAGAATACATCCTGCCTCAGAATTCCTCATGTTCCTCGTCCAAGCTGCAATCCTCTAGGTCTCAAACTCCTTGGCCACCAGCTGCACAGCCCCAGATCTTCTTTATGGGTCCCTCCGGCTGTACAGCCAACTTCCAGACTTCAGGGTCTTTCATGGCCACCAGCATGTAGACACTCTGCTCCTTTGTCATTGCTGGCCTCCAGACTGTAATTTTCTGGCATAAAATTTATGTTTTTTCTATCAGAAGAATGGCACCCAGAGACAATCCTTTCTTTGAGGAATAAATAATTCAAATAACTTGGTATTTGAATTTGAGGCTCTTGGTAAGCAGTCCTCCTTTTGCCAGCAGAACAAAAGTGGGAGGGGAACATCTCTTTGTTGTCGCCCCTACAGATGGTGGGCTGAAAGGGAGGGGCATCATGTGGCGTAGAGGCAGATTGGGCTTGTCTTACCTGCTGTCAAAAAAATTTAAAATAATAAACAAAAAAAGCACACCAGTGCCAGTAAAAACAAATGATAAAAAATAAAAGGAGAAATAAAGAGTTTCTTCAGAAGGGATCTTGTCGCACTCAATGAAACTCACTTTCTTGATGCTGAAACTGAAAGTAGGTTAATGCATTGCATTGTGGGATTAATAGTTTTTATACCTCCCTCCTATTATTCAGCCCTTGATTTAACAGGTGTAGTGCCAAGTATCTTTACCTCTTAGAAAATCTCAGACTGATAATCAGTTGAAAAGGAGAAAATATTAAAGATTTACCACAGACCATTTAGAAGATTCATCTCTTAACCTTCTTTGATTTTGAAGTTGTGCTCAGTTCATTTTCCATCCATGCAGATCTTAAGTCTGTAATGCAGACTCTCTGGTCTTACAAGACTTAACTGACTGGTGAAGATGTGAAAACTTATCACTCTGAAAGAGATTTCAAAGCTTTTTAAATGGTTGTTCTGACTATACATTCTGCTATGCTACCTAAAAGACAGACTGGACAGGTGTCATGTTGGGCTTGAAGGTTTACTTCAACCACGTCCTACTGCTCACACTTATTCAAACTTTACAGAATTTTCTTTATTATTTTTATGGTGTTTGCTGTTTTTAGATGTTGTCTTTCTTGATAAGCCAGTTTCAGTTTCCACCCGAACCAGTTCTAATAGTTCAAATGCAACCGAAACAAAGGTGAGACCTTGAATCTATTTACTAACCCTGATGCCGTATCAGAAAACAGTTTTCAGTAAAGTCCATGGACTCTGGTCAAGGCCATCACTTTTGCACACGCCATGCATGGAATTCCAGTTCCTAGAGAGATCCCTGAGAGATTAACAGCCTGGGTATAATGTTTTCACCATATTCCATAATATTTTAAAAAATGACAACTTTTTTTTTTTTTGTAATCAAGTTTAAAAGTTTTAAAATAATAATAAAAAAAAAAATTTAAAAGATCAAACTATCAAAGAATAATCTTTGAAAAACTATTGCAGACAAAAAAATAACTTAAATTTACATAACATACTTTTGAAATATGCCTGAAGCAAATCATACACATTATGTGGAGCAACATAAGCTCACCTTTCCAGTGGTCCCTCCCATAAGGAGGAGGAATATAAAAGCTGTCACCTGCTGCCTATTTCATTACAACAGACACATGCACTTACTTTTCCAGTGAATGGCAGCAACAATTAATTCTAAGTATTTCTACACTAGAACAGAGAACTTCTATGAGAATTCCTATGGGACTTTCAACTTTAATAAATTTAATTCAGCACTAACAAATAAGTCACTTTGAGATTCGGATCTTATTCTTGTCTTAATTGTCGATATTGTTGTCACCATTGTAACATCTCAATGATGATAAGTATTGCTTTGATCTGGGGAGTAGTGGTTGGATTTTGTTGCCTTTTGTGGCTTGCTCTGGGGATAAGACGCAGGTAAGACTGGACTGATGAAATGTAAAATGCTCCAGAACTTGGATTTTGTTTTATTTAATCTATTTTCATGAAATTTCTGTTTTTAACCTTTTGGTGTAATCCATAAAGAACTTTACGATTTAAAAAAGGTGTTGAGAGTAACAATAATTATTGTAAAACCTTTCTTTAGCCTGGAAGATACAGCATCTCTTCTTATACAATGATTTGTTACATTGTTGATTTACAGAAACTGTTGCATTGGTTTTCAGTGAATGTGTGTTTAGTTTCAGAGAATAAATGCAGCTTTTTGAAATAGTAATCTGATTATGCAAATGGCTGGCTGGGCTAGAAATGACTTCTGCATAAAAAGTGTCACAATGATCATTGCTATGAAGTGATAAGTCATTGTGGCTCCTATTGAGCAAGAAGCACAATGTTTAGTGCTGTTTTGCTCGAGATAGATAGATAGATAGATAGATAGATAGATAGATAGATAGATAGATAGATAGATAGATAGATAGATAGATAGATAGATAGATAGATAGATAGATAGATAGATAGATAGATAGATATAGATAGATAGATAGATAGATAGATAGATAGATAGATAGATAGATAGATAGATAGATAGATAGATAGATAGATAGATAGATAGATAGATAGATAGATAGATAGATAGATGAAAGTGGAATTATGCTTTAAGTATGTATACAGTACATCCAGTATCTCTTACTAAATCTGACAATATGTGGGATTTCACAAGTATGACTGTTTTATTTACCACATATTTACCATATTTACAACAATGTAGATTTTGCAGCGAGTGAAAATCATCATCATTAAAGAGTCAACCACACTAAAGGGGGGAATTTTAAAAATGTTATTGCTATTTTGGTGATTTCTACAGGCAAGCTGGTGAGCCAGTTATTGAAAATGGTTTTATTCCTTACCTGGGCTGTGCTTTGCAATTTGGGGCAAACCCTCTTCAGTTCCTTCGCAGCCGGCAGAAGATGCATGGTCATATTTTCACCTGCAAGATAGCAGGCCAATACATCCACTTCCTGTGTGACCCCTTCTCCTACCATTCAGTCATCAGACAAGGAAGACACCTTGATTGGACAAAATTTCATTTTGCTACATCTGTTAAGGTAGACACTGGTATTAATCTAACATATTGAGAAGAAAATGTTTTAAACTACAAGAACTTTAATAATAATCCATGACTTTCCATCTCTAGGCATTTGGTCATGACAGCTTTGACCCTCGTCATGGTTACACCACAGAAAACCTTCACCAAACCTTTCTGAAGACGCTGCAGGGGGAAGCTCTGCCCTCCTTGATAGAAACTATGATGGGACACTTGCAAGATGTCATGCTGAAGTCAGACAGACTGAGTCCAAGTGAAGATCAGTGGCAGGTGGATGGGATATTTGCATTCTGCTACAAGGTGAGTAAAAACACTGTAGGATGAGAAGACTTGATTCCATCATTAAAGATTGTTTTCAGATATTGGGCAGACTGTGTTTAAGAAATATGATTACTGCTAAAAGAGAATGTATTTTAGGCAGTAACAGCATCAATCCTCTCTGTTTTGGCGTTAAATAGGTCATGTTTGAGGCTGGCTACCTGACTCTGTTTGGTAAAGAGCTTGGGGAAGACAAATGCCACATCAGACAGGCTGCACAGAAAGCGCTGGTCCTCAACACTTTGGAGAACTTCAAGGAGTTTGACAAGATATTTCCTGCTCTTGTAGCTGGCTTGCCCATCCATGTTTTCAAGAGTGCCTACAGTGCCAGAGAGGTCAGTACATAATATTCAAGGGAAAAATATTAAATAATTTCTAATTCATTTGAATTTAACTTGTACATATAATTTAATTTGCAGAACTTAGCAAAGACGATGCATGCAGAAAACCTGTCCAAGAGGCACAACATGTCAGACTTAATCTCTATGAGGATGATACTGAATGACTCCCTCTCTACATTCAATGATGTGAGCAAAGCTAGAACCCATGTTGCCCTGCTGTGGGCTTCACAGGCTAACACACTGCCTGCTACATTCTGGAGTCTATTTTATATGATTAGGTAAGAAAATTGCTCTCTAGTGTTTCTCAGTTTCGGTCCTCAGGGACCACAGCCTGCATGTTTTAGGTGTTTCCCTTCTGTCACACACCTACTTGAATAAGTGGGTGATTAACAGGCTTCTGTGACACTTGATGGCATGCAGCTGAGGTCATGCAAACATTTGAATCAGAAATAGAGACCGGACTTGAGAAACTCTGCTTCAGGGCAACATTTCTTCATTAGCACAGTGGTCATTATGTGTTGCTGTATTACAAATATTTGATTTGGAAGTTAAACAACACACAAGCCTACTGTCCTGAACAGCAGCTTCGAGCTGTGCTGGAAGATTGTGTGGAAAACTGTGTGGATGTAGAAACGCTCTGTGAAGGACGCTGTAGGTAGAATTGAACAGAATGAGGTTTATAGGCTGCTTTGTGTGTGTGTGTGTGTGTGTCTGGTGTGTGTGTGTGTGTGTGTGTGTCTGGTGTGTGTGTGTGTGTGTGTGTCTGGTGTGTGTGTGTGTGTGTGTGTGTCTGGTGTGTGTGTGTGTGTGTGTGTGTGTGTGTCTGGTGTGTGTGTGTGTGTGTGTCTGGTGTGTGTGTGTGTGTGTGTGTGTGTGTGTGTGTGTGTGTGTGTGTGTCTGGTGTGTGTGTGTGTGTTGTGTGTCTGGTGTGTGGGGTGTGTGTGTGTGTGTGTGTGTGTGTGTGTGTGTGTGTGTGTGTGTGTGTGTGTGTGTGTTGGTGTGTGTGTACATTTTTAACAGACTGTCATTGTTGTATACTAACTTCCATATTTATAACAATTAATAAAGCCTCCATTCTCAATAGGCCATGAAATGTTAAAATATTAATTGTTTCTTTAACTAATAACTTATTATTGCCCTCCCTATAATTAGTGGTGGTTTCTGATGTGGGTGACCTGAGCGTGTTGAATTCAGAAGGTGGACGCCTCAATTTTTGTCATGTGTCCTCGTCAGTGACAGCCCATTTTGGCACATTGAATCAAGTAAATGATATTTAGCAAATAATGCAATGAAATTGTTTGTTATGAAATTTGCATAAAAACCCTTTGAAAATGTTTTATGTCCAGCTGATAATCTAATAGAGGCTACATAATAAATCTTTGTTTCTTGGAAATAAGATTGATTAATCGTGTTATTTGTTTTTATGCTGTTTGCTCTGAAACCTGGCAAAGTAGATGTCATAATCCTCATAGGCATTTAAGGACCAGCAGAATTGTGCTGCACATTCTCTTAAGAAACAATTTGAGAACAGTGTCTTGTACAAAATCTCTAATATACTGACAAAATTATTCTATATGTGGATTTATAATTTAATTATTTAGAGTGAGGTACAGTTATTACATCTCATGTAATGGGCTACAAATAAAGTTGACAAAAGTGATCATTGGTCACATGACACATTTGTCAAATGATTATATTATGCTACAACAGTAACACAATAACCATTCAGTAATATAATAATATTAACTTATACAAGTGGAAATTTATCGTGATATTATCATTCAAAATGTTTACTGTATTGGCTACATTTTTTACATTGTATGTGTATGTTTTATGTTTGTATATTTTTTATGTATTTCTGTTTTAATATATAGCAATGTAGTTAACCTAGGGCTTTTTGAAATGTGCTAAAGAAAATGTTCTACAGAAACCTATTTTCTGGACTATGATGTGGACTTACCCGTTCGACAAGTTTTTAAACAGTTAAAACCCATTTGGAAACTAAACTCTTGATAATATATTGAAAGCTTCATTTCATGCTTTGTTGGAAAATCAAAAAATCTCAGAAAATACAGGCAACAACAGATAAAGAAACACAACTGAAAAGATTTTATACTTGTGCCCAGGAGTCCAGAAGCTATGAAAGCAGCTCAAAAAGAAGTCCGGAAAGTTCTGAGGGATTCAGGTTTGACAATGGACCCTGAAGAGCCAAACATGCTAAAGCTGAGCAGAGACCAGTTAGACAACATGCCTGTTTTGGGTAAGATGACTAAAATATATGTTTTATTTCTCAAAATGAGTATCAAATATGTGTAACAGGAAATAAAAGATTAGAATATTTATTTTTTTCATTCAGTTAAGTAAATTTGTATTGTAAATACTTTTTTTTTTTTTTTAATCTATTGATTATAGACAGCATCATGAAAGAAGCCATGCGGCTTTCCAGTGCCTCTTTGAATATTCGGGTTGCCAAAGAGGACTTCCTGCTTCACCTTGACAACCAAGAAGCTTACCGCATTAGGAAAGATGATGTCATAGCCCTGTATCCACCCATGGTGCATTATGATCCAGAAATTTATGAAGATCCTTATGTAAGATCCCACATTATCCTAATTCAATGGACTTCCTTAGATAGAACACTTTTTAAAATCCATTTCAATAATAAACTTGACCACTTTGTTTGATAAATATGATCAATTGGAATAAATGTATGACTTTAATGGAATTGACTTTTTTTCAAAGTGCTTTGAGATGATGTGTCAATTGACGCTATGTAAAGAAATGGAATTGAATTGAATCTACAAAGTGAAACATTGCTCTCTATTCCTCTTCATTTTTCATTTTCTTCCTTCATACAGGAGTACAAGTTTGACCGTTTTCTGGATGAGGAAGGTCAGGAGAAAACCACATTTTATCGCAATGGCCGGCGGCTGCGTTACTTCTACATGCCCTTTGGCTCAGGGGTCACAAAATGCCCTGGAAGATTTTTTGCTGTGTATGAGATCAAGCAGTTTCTAACGCTGATGCTGTCCTACTTTGACATGGAATTATTAGACCCTGCTATCAGAGTTCCTCCTCTAGACCAGTCCCGTGCCGGTCTGGGAATTCTCCAACCTACATATGATGTGGACTTTAGATATAAGAGGAAGGAGAACCACTAAACCAAGTGCTTGCTGTGCTGATTGACTGAATTACTTACTGTAGATAATGTAAATTTTACAGTACAATGGGATATCTGTGTGTAAATAGACTAAATTATTTTTCAATGTCCTGTTTCTTTTATACAATCAGGTTGTAGAAGATAGGCTGTATGGAATCATTGGAAATGATCACATATTTCCAGATCTTTACTAGCATTCTGTCATATTCAATACTTGGCATATTATTCCTGGTTTGGGTTTTCTTTTCAATAAAGTTTATGTGAGAATATTGGTACACACATCTCTGTGTGTATTCAAATTGAGAGGTTGCAGATCCTTGTAAAATCATTGTGTAGACTTTAATCCCAGCTACTTGACGCTTTTGGCATTTTGTCTTTGAGACAAAATAAAACATCTGGGTTTATTTGGTGCCATCAAAACCATAACATCTAGGTTCTCCATTGGTGTGTGTTGTTGCAAACATCATCATGCAGCTCAGCTAACATAGGTGGAATTTAGAGACAAAGGAATGACAATGAAGTCATCTCTCATTTAGCCACACCACCACAATCACCCTCCATCAAAAACTCTGGGTGCTTGAAAGCAAGTGAAACCAACTTGTTGTCCATCTGCTGACTGAAGATTATCTTGATAAGCTTCAGGGTGTCAGAGATGGAACTTTCCAAAGAATAAAAGGCACTTCCTGTTATGAGGGAGCAGGGCTTAGACAACATCAGAATGTGACAAAATAGGCTCATCAGGCTTATGCCAAATTTGGTGCTACTTGGCCATTGGGAGTGAAAGTTATAGCGTTTCATTCGCTTTGGCAAGTCTACCTCTTAACATACTCATGATATTGAGAACTTTTAATCCCCCATCCCTTAACTGTGTCCTGAACAAAAATGAAGCCGACAGTGTGTAAACAAGAAAAATGGCAAAAATGTAACCTTTGGCTGAAAATGGCCTCTTCCCTGTATATCTTAGAACAGGGATGCTCAAGTTCAGTCCTCCAGAACTACCGTTCTGCAACTTTCAGGTGCATCTTTACTCCAACAGACAAGAATCAGCTCTGAACAGGCCTGGCAACGAGCCCTTCATTTGATTCAGGTGTGTTGGAGCAGGAAAGCATCTGAAAGTTGCAGGATCTTTTGAGGACTGGCCGTGAGCATCCTTGTTTCAGAGCATACAAACAGCAATAGCTGACATAAGCAGTGACTCAGTAACTCTAATCGGAGGACTTTTTTCAGTAACAAGTTTTCTAACATGTTACTAATTCAAATCCAGTAATCCTATTAAAGTTGTTTGTCCAAAATCACTGCACGTTACTATTTTTGTCATTTTCTCTAGTAATTTAATTGTATTTCCTCTTGGGTAGTGATTGCCGTCTCTATGCGATAGTATCAGCAGAGATAGCCCCGTAATATAGACATGTAAACAATGGAGGGAGATGCATATTTTGTTGCTGGAAAAACAGGAGCTATTTTGAGCTTTCATCAAAAAACAAAATATGTATATATAAATATATTTTGTCGTTTTTTTAAATTATCTACAGATAATCGGTCCGGGGTTGTGGTTCTTTGGGGCGTGAAGTTGCTTATTTGGGCTGGGAAATAAGCAGGTAGTTTCATCAGACTCTCAGTGTCCATCATTTCCCAGACGGTCCGTCCCACTGTGTCTTTGTTAATGTCAAATGATGTCTAGCTTCGTGTTGCACTCCAGAAAATGGCAAACATGGAGACTAATACGAACAGAGCAATGAACATGAAAACAGCCCAGAATGAATGAGTCCGTAAAGTTATGCAGCTAAACAAAATTCTAATCATTAATATTGAGATAAGTGTCACAAAACTGTGGAGCCGCAGGAGTTTTTGTGCTCTGACAGGAAATGCAGGGCCATAACACAGAACCTGGAGGTTGGTGGTGTTGGTAGGCTGAGGACACTCTAAATCCTATAGTTTTCCAGACAAAAGTGAAACATGCAAAGATTACTTTTTCTTTTTTGGACTGTTGTAACCATTCAACCATGGGCCCTTCCGTTCCTCTTTCAAAGTAAGTATAGTCCAAGCTCCATCTCATTTGTGTATTGAGGGTTGTTGTCAGCAAATGCTGAAAGTGACTAATAAAGTTATTTGTAATGTAGTTAGTTTCCAATCAAGCAGTAATCCAAGTTACTTTTTCAAGAAGTAATCAGTAATTCAATAAAAGTTACTTTGAAAAGTAACGTTCATCATTGGACAGTCTAAATAATGAGCTTCATTTTTTTTCAAAGGTTTTATTGGCTCTAGTGTCCCCCATTTCACAGTAAACTGACAGGAAAGAGAGTAATGAGACAAGGGGGAAGACATGCGGTAAAGGCCGACGACCAAGGCCTCCAGATGTGGGCTGCGGTTAACCCCCGCGCCACCACAGCACACCCGAGCTTCATTTTTTAAAATTAAATTTAAATAAATTAGATTTTCAAAGATACTCTAAGTTATTGTGATGCACCTTTTCTGTAAAGTGAAAGTAGAACTTCACTGATATTCCTGACAAGTCAAACCCTTTAGATATCAGTCAGGCTAAATGATCAATTTTAAAAATCACAAAGCAAGGGACTTTAATACTGAATTGACATAAAACAAACTTTGCTAAATATACAATCAACTCAATTAAATAATTATTTTTCTTCTTTTCTTGAATACTTATGAGACCCAACAACAATATTATTCTAATGTGAAACAAAATCCTTACATACTACCAATTAGAAACCAACAGACATCTCCCTAAATCTTTTTGTATGAAACAGGATTGTGATCTAGTAGCTATCGTTGTTTTGACCATAGACATGAATATGTATTTATGTGTTGGTCCATCTCAGGGTGATTTTTGAAGATTCATGCCTCGATAATATATTAAGTTTTAACTTAATGTTATCACCACATAAAGCTAACAACGTCTTGTACAAATTGTTTTTTGAGAGTGATATGTCCAGTTTAGTTATAATTTCTGTTTTTGTAAAAAGGTAGATATACATTTTTTGATAGTAAACGGGAACCTCTTCCTCTTGGTTTTCATTTAAGTCCCTCTGACCCACACAGAAGTCACTAGAGATTGTTATACCAAAAATAATAGTTTTTGCCAAAACAGGATATATATTTTTTTATATTTCTTATGCACACTAGGTTCACAAATGATAACTGAAATACTCAACAGACTAAGGATTCAGAAAGTGTATAATGAACTCATACTGCCTGTTGATGGTGATGAGCTGTAATTTGAAGTCAGAAACTTAAATACGTTTAGGGAACCTGCCCAGATAGACCTACTTTTATACTCTTGATAACTTTTGAATTTGCCTTTGACACAAACTGTTTTATGGTTAAGCAGAAACCAGCAGTGGTTAAAATTAACTGTATGTGTTTTGCTTGACTTCCACATCCATACCTTTACATTCATTTCTGTACAAATACAGGAGGAGCAGTCCATTAATTCAAATATCACCGAAAAGCAAGTATCTGGGCTATCTGTCTTCCATCCTTCTTGCTAAACACATCAAACTTGTCTGGTTGCGTGGGGTCAGCTGTGAATAGCCCTGTCCATATCCACCCACAAATTCTACTGGATTGAGATCAGAACTTGACTGGGCCCCTCCATAACATGTAGCTTGTTGTTTTCAACCCATCTCTACTGTATGTAGCTTTAGCTGCATGCTTCGGTTCAGAGCTGGAGCTCTCATATCAACATGTCAACAACAGACTTTTTATCAACCTTAGATTGCACTATATATTAAGCTATATTCACTATTATTAGTGTCATTGGTAATTACCCTACAGCATTCTGCTGATGATTTTAACCAGTCTAACTGACATGGATATCCAAACACATAGAAAAGGCTGTCCTGATACTTTATAGTTTTTATTAAAACCGGGCATTAAACCATTAAGCATACAAAAATCACCAAGAGGTAGGGATGCTTGTGAAAAACAATACATGAATGATGTATACCTCTACAAATAAGAAAAAAATATTTTGCCTATTTCTATTGTTAATTCATTAATCTGACATTAAGCCCGTCTTCAGTCTTTCAGGTTTTGTCCGGTTTGTCCAGGTCCTCTTTGGTGAAGCTAAAAGGCTTATCGTAGCCCATGAGATGGTTATAGTCATGAGAAATGGGGAAAAAGTCTGGATTCACAAAAAGCCCCATGTCGCCAGCATAGAAGTTGGCGAAAACTTTGCTGACGGCTGGGATCCGGACTTGACTCTGATGGAACACCCAACGTTTCTCAGTCAAGAAGACACTGTAAGTGATGGCAGTGTAGATATCTCTATCTGGATTGTGGTACAGACGAATGACGTAGCTCTTTGAGACGAAATGAAGGCTCATGGGAATGAAGAAGGTGAAGAAGCCAATGATGCCAAAGGAAATAAAGTCCAGGACACCGTTACACAATCCAGACTTCAAAAGGATGTCAGGCATGAGGATGAGGCTGGCGCCGCTGGTGCTATAAGAAAACATCTTCACCCCTGTACAAATAAGATTCACAGGTCATTGCAAAAGTAATAAAAACACCTTGTATGTAAATTCTAATTCAGGCAGCAATTTTTTCCCAAACAGATCTTTAGAGCAAAATAAGAGATTATGAGAACAAAACTTAGGACATACAAAGCAAAAATATAAGAAAACAAGTACCAGCATAGTGAAAGAAAGAAGGATTGAAGTTTTTGGGTTTTCGATCTACAGACAACCCAATCCCATTTATAGGGATTGGGTTTAAGTGCGACCTCTTTAAGGTCGCACTTAAAGAGGCGACCTGTTTAGGAACCGGCCTGTTTGGACACGTTGTCGGCGACGATGATGGTAAATATTTACACGTTTTTAATTCTTGTTTGGGGTGTGAAGTTGCTTATTTGGGCTGGGAAATAAGCACATAATAAGCCCCAGAATTTGACTGACACACAGGAAGTTTTTATCAAAGACTTCTGGAGATTCCCTTTGTATGTCCAAAAGGAAAAAAAATTCAAAGGAACTTACCAAAATTGGAAAAATGTATACATCACACAGGTTCTCTGCAGCCCAGATCTCCAGGGCTTCTAGCCATTATTTAGATTTTTTTCTTCCTTTTCAAAATTTGCCCTTTTCAGGCACTTTGATGAGAACAGGGTCAGACCTGTGGTGGGTAATTTACCATAAAGTATACTGCTCATTAAGCAGTGTACTGCTCAACCTGCAGAATTGAGAATTACAGTATAACATGTCATTTGTTTGTCAGCCCCTAGCTAATTATTATGAATCATCCAGTTTCAAAGCTGTCAAGGAGGAAACAAGACAGCGGTCACTTTGAGTTTGGCCAGTTAAGCAGCTTTGCGCTGACAACATTTGTGGAAAAGTGATTAGTTTTAAAGGACTGTTTCAAATAACTTTGCATCAGGTTATTTAAGCATTTTACATCCAGTAGATTATTGATTGCTAATATGCTATGGTTACATGGTGTATTAAAATTTGCATTGTCAGCTATCATGCTAGCAAAACCAACAATGGTACTCTTTAAGCTAATGTCATTTTGACTAATTTGAGCTTTTACATTGTTTGTTTTCATACTGCATGTAGTATGTTTTTGTAGTCGCCATGCTAGTGCTAGCCTCGATGCTATAATAACTATTTTAGCTAGCTTCAGGTTTTTACCTACTTTTAGCTTTTACATGGATTTTTTTCACTCTGCATGTAGATTAACATGCGAGTGCAAGCCTACCTGATATCATTAGCATTTTAGCTAGATTTACCGTATTTTACCTTACAAACTGTTGGGACCTTTGAATTTAGCTTTTTAAACACCGTTATGCACCAGTTTCTAATACTGTTTGGGTGGGATTTTTGCATTTTCTCCAAAAACATTCAGCATACAGCATTCACATTGCATTTTCAGAGCAAATGCCATTTTTTCTAGTTTGTTCACTACATTTCTTTACAATATTGCTTTCTCTGAGAATATGCTTCTGTACTGAAATCAAACTACGTTATCCTGCTTAGCATGTCTGTCAAATTTTATTCAAACTATGACTGGTCCCAAATTTATAATCATCACACATCCATACTTTCTGATGATAAAATGAAAAAAACATTTTGAGGTAACTGACTCCTGATAGTAGTCCCCAGGTTGCCCGTGTAAACCAGGTTTCCGTCCTCAGGGTAACTTGTTGTAGAGAGACACTGGCTGCCCTGATAGGTGGAGTGAACCTGCTTGCACAAATGAATGAATAGACACACACGTACACACAAAAACAAGAGTTACATCGATAGATACCATTATTTTTTGCAAATATGCAAAGAATGCCAGTGGTAGAGTAAAATAAACCAAATCAGAAATCTGGCAATTTAAAAGAAACCCAAATTCAGGTGATGGCTTTAAAGTCTTGTAGAGCCTTTGTGAACAATGTAACTCAACTAACACTTGATGGCTAAATCACCCACTAAATTCACCACAGGTATAGATGATGTGATGATATATTTTATTTATCAAGTTCAAAAAACTAAAACTCGTACTATATAAAATCATTACACACAGAGCAATATATTCTAAGTGTTTCTTTCAATTTATTTTCTGTTATTCTGGTTCACAGCTACTATAAATTAAAATTTCCAGTTAATGAGAATACAATTACATAAAACCAATGGTAAAAAGAATTTAACATGCAAACGATAGCCTTGGAGGAAATTGGCATTTAGAAAATATGTCCATCTAGGCTCCTGTACAATATCTACTCTCAGTACTTTGCCACAGGGTCACTTTGTATGAGTTACTGCCTTAAGTGACTCATACAAAATGATTCACTAGATGAAGACCACCTGATGTGCTGTGGTATCGTCCCCCTACAACATAGGTCTGTAACCTTCAGGCTGCGTTCACACTGCAGCCTGAAGTGACCCAAATCCAATTTTTTGTCAAATCGGATTTTTTTTGCCGGATCTGTTCACACTGCCACACATGAGACCTATGTGCTCTGCAGTCTGAACGGACAAACGACCTGAAAGTGTCCCGCATGCGCAGTAGAGGGCGCAATAGCTTCAGCTTTGTCAGTGTTCTGCTAACCGCCCTAAAAAGAAAGAAGCACTCAGTGTTTGCGGAAGTAAACATGGATGCTAGCTTACATGTTTGAAGTTGTTTTGTTAGTTATTTTTAATGAATTTATGAACATCTTTGTTCACAAGTAGAAAGAAAAACAAAGAAACAGAACACAACATATTGAAAAGTATGCTAGGGGTGCAGCTTTCAGCAGTAAATATGTTGGTATGAGAAACAAAAAGAATAGAGAGCACATATTACAGACATGACAAATTAAAAATGTTCAGAGATCTAAAACATTCATATGTGTTTGCAGCTTTTTGGTTCATACTCTTGGAAACAGTGGATAAATAGAGTTCGATTTCCTTAACCAATAAACAACTTCCTTAAACAATAATTAGATTGATTGCCAGTCTCCTGCCTGCATTTGTATTCTTGCCATAAAACCAAAAATAATATGCTTAAAGTGACATTTAGTATCAATATAACAATTTATATTGATTTATATTATACTGATTTAGTACACTCTTTCCAAACTTTTCTTGTGATACGACAATTCCAGATTAAATCCCTAATTGTTTCTGGATGCTCTTTGCAGAACTCACAGCTGGGGGTCTATTGTTTTAATATATTTCATCATGTATTGATTAGTAGGATAAACTCAATGAAACAGTTTAAATGAGATCTTTCATTTTGTTGTTTATGAAAATGTTTTGATGATGAGTCCACACATTTTTCCATAGTGAATCAGGGACAAAATTCTTCAAATAGAAAATGGATGAAGGTACAGAAATAATAGCTTGTTGAAACAGGGAATGAATATTTCTGTTATTTTTACAAGTAGAAGCAAAACATTTGCTTTACCAACGGTGGAGCCAGTTACATTCAACAAGACCTTATATTCATCAACATTACCTCTAAAAAGTTCACATATTTCACTAGTTACAGCAAACACAATATCAACTCTCAGTAAGTTTGAACTCACTGTACCTGAGTAAACATTCATTTTTGTTAAATAGCTGACCCTCCAGAAGAATGTTATTGTTTAACCATTTAGGGTAAAATGAAGATTTATATTTGTGAAGGATATATTGGTTATTCCAGATGAAGAATTTAAGGGGGGAAAATTATGTTTATATACAAGAGCCCATGAAAGAAGTGCTTGATTATGAAATGCAGAAAGTTTTACTGGTATTTTCTCTACATTATAATTACAGAGGAGGAGGAAATTAAAACCCCCTACACTAGAGAAAATGTAATTTGGGAAAGTATTCCAGATGGAGGAGGGATTGTTTAACCAATTTATTTTGAATGAATTATTTAGTTATGTATGGAAAAATTCAACCCTCCTTTTTCATAAGAATTCATTACCACTGATTTTCTTAAGTAATGTATATGATTTTTCCATAAGAAAATGAATAAGATTTGGTGAATAGATTTTATAGTTTGGTTGTCTAAATAAAAGGAAAGTGCAGAATAAGTGAGCCGTGATATTCCCTTCAGTTTAGATAACAATAGCTGTCCTCTAAGGCTTAGATCACTTTGAAGTCATAAATTTAGGACTTTTTTGGTTTTATCAACTAAGGGAGCAAAATTTGATGAACACCTTTCTAAATAATTCTCTGAAATAATTATGCCCTAATAAGTAACACTATCTTCTTTGACAAGAATATTCCAAACAGAATCTACATCACAATCTTTAACCAGTAGAAGTTCACATTAGTTGATGTTCAAGTGAAGTCCTGAAACATCAGAGAAAGTTAGGATTAAATTTAAAGCAGGGGAAACTTGACTGTTGACTCTTAAAAAGAGAGTAGTATCATCAGCCAACTGACTAATTCGTATTTCTTTACCAAAAACATAAATACCTTTACGTTGATTTATAGAAATGTGGTCACAAAGAATCTGAGAAGCTAACAGGAAGAGATAAGGGGAGATTTGGCAGCCCTGTCCAATTCCTCAACATAGGTTAAATCTAGGGGAAGTGCCATATTTTAATATGACAGAGCAATTAGCATTATAATACTTTAATTGTATTGCAGAAAAAAGGACCAAACCCAAATTTATGAAGACAGCTAAAGATTAAGTCACGATTAATGAAATCAAATGAATAGTCCAGAATATCAAGAACGAGCCGTATGTTATAGGAAATGTGTCTATTTTGCAGGAATCCAGATTGTTTCTCCAATAGCAGTATTTAAAACCAATTTAAGTATTGTTGCAAATAGCGATGCCAGGATTTATAATCATTTAATAGACATATAGGATGCCAATTATCAATAAGTAACTTGTCTTTTTTGGGCTTAGGTATAAGGATAATGATCCCATGATTTAAAATAGGGGGGGAAAAGCCTTTTTCAATGCTTCCCAAGAAAGGTTTAGATAGAAAAGGAGCAAGATGATCACCAAACCGCTTGTTGAATTTCCCTGTTAATCCAGCTGCCCCAGAGGATTCATTGTTTTTTTAAACTGTATTGAATTTAGCATGCTGCCTTTCTAATAGAAAAAAATAGGAGGAGATGCATTCGCTGTCTTCCAGCCATTTTAATCTAACCCTAACTCTAGAGCCTCCTTCTGTTTTTGTAAATCTCATCCAGTTTATTTTGTAAAGTGGCAAAATGTATTTCATCAACATCTGACAAGTCAGTCGGACTCTTTTTGGAGAGCCTCGTTATTTTGTTAATTATTTAATTTTCTTCAACTTTCTTAGATTTTATTTTTAAGTCAGAACAGTTTGTTTCAGGAACTTTGCAACATCAAATTTAAAAAATTCCCAGATGGTGCCATCTTTATTTTCAGAATTAGCTTTGTCAAAGAAAATAAGAGATTGTTTGGGAGATTTTTTGTTGTACTGAGTCTGACTTAAGTAAAGAGTTGTTTAGGATCCAGTAGGCTTTCCTATTGTGTGGATGGTTATCAGACAGATTTATCACATTGCTTTATGACCTGTGAACAGAGTCGGAAGGTTATTGACAATGATGTTACTGCCTTTTAAGGAGTCAGATACTAACCAACAGTTAATACGAGACTTTTTAGACCCATCATTGTTACTCCAATGACAGTGGTTATGTTTCTCTCCATATATTCTTCAAATTGTATCTCTGCATGAATGACTTAAGAAGAATGTTTGAATCTTGAGTTCAAAGTGGCCATTTGTTCAGCTGATCATTTAGAATCAAATTAAAATCCCCTCCTATAATAATGATTGCATTAGGAAATTTATTTAGACCATCAGTTAGATTATTTTCTATCAGAGAAAGAAGTTCTGAATGTTCTTGTTTTGAGTTGTAACCATAAATACAACTTCAGTATTTAATACTGATACTGATTGCAATATTGTCGTATTGCAATAAAATTTTGATTGCAATATGATAATACCATAAATCCAAAGTGTCCCTAAAAATCACACTTATTCAAAAGGATGTCACCATCAAATTAGTTTTTTTAAGGAAAGTGTGTCAGCTGAATGCTGGCTACCATGTGATGAATATATCATCATCCCACTGACTTTTCCAGAAATCAAGAATCACTACAATGTGATTCTTGAAAGAAAAAAAGATCTGTGTTGAGCTGTTTGGAAAAAAGAAATAAAGCTTTTTGTTTTGTGGCATTTTTTTTTAGCTCCCTAGCATTTAACGAACCTATAGATATAGATAAAAAGAGATCGATAAAAAAGTATGAACGTTTTGTGAGTGTGTGTGTGCTGTGTTGCTTTCAAACAATGTGCCTATTTACAGATAAGGTAGAAAAATATACATAGTTTTTTTCAATTAACACTACTTATTAAAACATTTAAATAAAGCAAGTGAATTGCAGCATTCTTAAATTTAACTATGAACTGCCAAACAAGTGAACATAAATCTATAATTTTTGTGAACAGAATTTCCTAAATAGAATATGGATTTACAGTATCAGATCCCAAAGCATAGTCTTGTGGCATTAGAAATCCTCATCTTCTTCCAGATGTTAGCGGTGGAGCTGGGTCGACTGACGTCTCTTCTGCCCATCTCAGTCCGAAGGGAGGCCAACCTCTTCACCATTCACGTAGGCTTGGGCAGCAACTTGTAGGCAATCTTCTAGTCTTCTCTTGCCGCCTCAATCACAGGTCAAATGCCGCTCTGGCTTTAAGATATGCTGAACAAAGATCCTCTATGAGGCGAAGATGTCGCTCCTCCAGGAAGGAGTTGTTTGTCGTGGCTTTCCATGCGTTATCCCGATATGTTCGGGAAGAGAACTGGAGGAGGAAAAGTTTAAGATTCCACCGCCTCGAGCACCACTCCGCCTCAATTAATCTTTTTTTCAAATTCAAGGAGGGTAGCATTGTCTTTTTTGTCTGATTTTCAATTTTTTCACATTTTTAATTTCCTCAAAAGTGAAGCCAATCAATTTTTTGAGCCTTTTAATTTTTAAAGCGTTGTCACTGACCATCTTTTCCACGGTGTGAAAGTGGGTGTTGATCAGCTTTGACAGAGTTGTAATGATGTCGGAATCATTTCTGCTTTTATCCTCACCTTGTACAAGAAGTTTTTTATAGGCTGGTTCTTTAGAAGGGGTCCTGTCTGGCGAAATATTCAGCAGAGGGAAGTCTTCATCAATCTGTCTCGATGTAGTCGTGTTCAACGGTTGTCAAGTTGTTGATATTGGTGGCCGTTGGGTTTTTGATTTTTTAGAAGATCTTTTTCTGTCTTGAAAAAACATTTTTCTTTGTTTTCTTTCAAAAAAAGATTGGCTCTCTGTTTAAAAAATATTTAAAAATTGAGTAGCATTTAGTTGAGGGTTTTCCAATCAAATAATCAAATATGATGCAACTGGTCAAAAAGCGCCATCTTGGTCAAACCTTGACCAACAGGTGTTACATCAAAATCTGTGACGCATCATTTTCTGTACCTGCAATAGAGCGTAGGTACGTCTTGAAGATCAGCGAGAAGAGGAGTATTTACGTAAACTACATAAATACTGATACAGCTGGGATTGTAAACACCACAGCTGCTTTATTACCATTGCACTGACGGAGAAAATAAAATGTACTGCTTCGTATTTGACTCTGAACTGTTTGACTGACTGTCGCACTGAAATTCTATGTGCTGTTATTAAAATATGTGAACCAACTGTAGCCGTTTAATAAATTATTAAACGATTAAGAAATGATTCTAAGCGCTCTGGTAGTTTTTAACATAATTTTTAATGTTTCTGCCACCTCTTCATTGCAGTCATATCACACTTATAACAATATTTAACCCTCAAATAGCCAGGATCACACTGGTCACAGATTTTGATGGCCATAATAATCCGTGACCAGTGTCAGTTTGAATACAATCAGGTTGCAAAGAATTTGAATTGTGCTGTTGACACCGTCATGAAAAGATCAGATACAGGTCGCATTACGTCAAAAAAATCCGGATTGGTTCACTTCAGCCTGCAGTGTGAATGCAGCCTTCGAGTCCAAGAGCTATTTTTGCCCTCAATCCTGCTCACTGAAACAAAGTTAAGCATTTAAAATGCACAGCTCTGGAGACGGTGTGTGTACTATTGGGTTTGACAGCATCACGCAGAAAGGACTAGCTGTAGCGTTCCTTATCACATCGGGGCTGCAGTAATCTTTGGCTATGTTTGGTCCTTAGATTCATTTGTTAAAAAAATTACCTATGTAGCTTTTTTGAGAAAAAGTACTAATAGGAGTAGTTTTACTGCACTGTACATTTTCCTTGATTGATATTATCTACTATTGCTGCTCTTACTTGAGTAGATTGCTTTTGAATTTAAAGAAATAGACTTCAGAGATTGGAAACATTAGATTCATAGATTGCTGCAATGTAGGAGCTAATGCTCATGCAATTCTTAGCATAATTACTCAGCATTTTCTATACGTCACTGTTCACATTATTATTATTTAATTTCTCCCGTCGCATAAACATAGTTATGCTATTTGAAAGGTTACATAAACTAACTAACTATATATTTATATTAACTTATAGCCTGCATACTGTGGTCCCAGCCTTCCCCCAATAAAAAATAAACCAGAGGCCCCCAGTTAAATTTCTGCCTACTACAGTCTCAGATCATCACAGCCCTCCAGCCCCATCAGCAGCAGCAATCCCTCAACAGCAACATTGTACCCATTAGGCTACCTTGCTTTGAATTTTGTTCCCATACGATGACATTTATTCTATTTTAGATGTTTTTTGATTAATATCTGTCGTGGTTGTGTTATTGGAAGAGCTTGTTTCATGTGCCCCTTTTTGGCTTGAGCACCTTCCCATCCAATCATCTAATCATTTTTAAATCCCTTTTTAAAATGAAACAACGTATATTTCTGATTTTCAAATTAGCTAAAAATGGATCTGGACATTTACATTTACATCTCACAATTACAAACCAGTAACATGAAAATGTCCTCTAGGTGTGTGACTTTCAAGTGGTTAGCAGTAGTCTGGGTCAGTGGTCAGTTACCTTGCTGAGGATGGGAGCAGACCTCCGAACAGTCCGAAGCGACACGTTATGCCTCCATGAGAAGGAAAAGAACCGCACAGCGGGCAGAGACTGAACTAACCTGGCCATCATAGTTGCAGAAAATTTTCAAGTCAACACTTGTCACTGAACTATCTGTTCCGGAAGCTCCAGCCACTTCAATCGATCATTTGCGCATGCGTTGAAGAAATACTTCCGGGTTATGTAAAACTACGTTAATAAATTCTAACATAATTATTCATATTAAAATACTACTTGTTCTGAGAGGACCTGTTTTCCTAGACGATGTTACATTATCTATTATATTAATAAATAATAATTGCCATTGTGTTCAAAGAATAAAAGTAAATTTTGTTCAGAAAACAAAGTGCAGTATGCCACATTATAATAGTAATATCAGCCAGAGGTTTAGAGTGCCATGTACAGAAATTAAAGTTAGATCATGCAATGGGTGTTTTAATTCCCCACAGATTTTAGAATGAGATGGTAGCTGATAGTTAAATAGATCAATTTTAAAAATCACAAAGCAAGGGACTTTAATACTCAATTAAATAATTATTTTTCTTCTTTTCTTGAATACTTATGAGACCCAACAACAATATTATTCTAATGTGAAACAAAATCCTTACATACTACCAATTAGAAACCAACAGACATCCCTAAATCTTTTTGTATGAAACAGGATTGTGATCTAGTAGCTATCGTTGTTTTGACCATAGACATGAATATGTATTTATGTGTTGGTCCATCTCAGGGTGATTTTTGAAGATTCATGCCTCGATAATATATTAAGTTTTAACTTAATGTTATCACCACATAAAGCTAACAACGTCTACAAATTGTTTTTTGAGAGTGATATGTCCAGTTTAGTTATAATTTCTGTTTTTGTAAAAAGGTAGATATACATTTTTTGATAGTAAACGGAACCTCTTCCTCTTGGTTTTCATTTAAGTCCCTCTGACCCACACAGAAGTCACTAGAGATTGTTATACCAAAAATAATAGTTTTTGCCAAAACAGGATATATATTTTTTTATATTTCTTATGCACACTAGGTTCACAAATGATAACTGAAATACTCAACAGACTAAGGATTCAGAAAGTGTATAATGAACTCATACTGCCTGTTGATGGTGATGAGCTGTAATTTGAAGTCAGAAACTTAATACGTTTAGGGAACCTGCCCAGATAGACCTACTTTTATACTCTTGATAACTTTTGAATTTGCCTTTGACACAAACTGTTTTATGGTTAAGCAGAAACCAGCAGTGGTTAAAATTAACTGTATGTGTTTTGCTTGACTTCCACATCCATACCTTTACATTCATTTCTGTACAAATACAGGAGGAGCAGTCCATTAATTCAAATATCACCGAAAAGCAAGTATCTGGGCTATCTGTCTTCCATCCTTCTTGCTAAACACATCAAACTTGTCTGGTTGCGTGGGGTCAGCTGTGAATAGCCCTGTCCATATCCACCCACACATTCTCTACTGGATTGAGATCAGAACTTTGACTGGGCCCCTCCATAACATGTAGCTTGTTGTTTTCAACCCATCTCTACTGTATGTAGCTTTAGCTGCATGCTTCGGTTCAGAGCTGGAGCTCTCATATCAACATGTCAACAACAGACTTTTTATCAACCTTAGATTGCACTATATATTAAGCTATATTCACTATTATTAGTGTCATTGGTAATTACCCTACAGCATTCTGCTGATGATTTTAAACTTAGAGTAGCAGCAAACAGGCAAAGATACACTAATCAATTAAGTGTGGCATGTTACATTGGTTATGCAAAAGGAAAATCTGGAAACACTGAATTTACTGTACTCAAGTTAGGTTTAGCATTCAGAACAGATCTGTAAAATGTGCACAACATGCAATCACTACAAATAAAGCTCCTGGCGGCCCGTTGGTGGTGTTGGGGCCCTAAGCAGCCGGTTTGGCTTGCATTTATGGCTTGGGCTCTGCTTCGAGTTGTTGTCTTGATGGAAAATAAAAGTTCTCTGAAGCCACAGTTCTCTTGCAGATGGAGACTGTCTGCCAGGATCTCACTACATTCATTTGACCTTCTACCTTTACAAGCCTCCAGGTCCTACTGCTGAGGAGCAGATTTACACATGGATCACATTCCATCCATGTATTGATGATGAAGTTAACTGAACTCTTGGGATGTCAAGACCTTAGAGATTATTTTGCATTGTGCCTCTTAAGCTGAAACCATTAATGCTGTCAGTCACCTTTGGTAATAAGGTTTTCTTTAAATGAGGTTTTAGTTCTGCTTTATTTTAGTGACATCAGATGCAATCCTGAACCCAATTTTATTTATTAAACTCTTACATGTTGATGGAAGCAGAAAATGGAAAGTAATTCAGTTCATCAAAGTTAACATTTAATTCTGCATCCATTACTTGACAAGCAGTGACTCTCTGCTTATAATGTGTTCATATGCAAATGCAAACATAATCAAATGACTGAAGAGAGCAGCAGTCCTAAGCCGCTCCGTGGAGGTACAGTGTCAGGAATTTGCTGAATGTTTCTGGTTTGTATCCTGCCAGACCAGCAGGGACCTGAAAAGAAGAACCATCCGTTAGCGTCAGTGTTTACCACCCACACCTCCTCTGATCCACAACATGTGTAATGAAACTAGTTATACTACGGAGATGACTCTTCTGCACGTGAAAAACATACTCGTGACAGAATTTTCCTACCTTCACTTCTTTCCTCTTGATGAAGGGTCGAACCTTTGCAAAATCATACAGCTCAACATCTTCATCCAACCACGCCTACAGCAGACAAAAACAGAGGAAAAACATTTACCTGAAGGCTCGGAATTAGTCTGTAGCTGGTTCCTGGAGTAACATCATCAAATAAAGCATAAAAAATCTAAATACGATGAAGTGGGTACAGTTCACAGTCTTCCACTGCATCAGGACAGGAGAGTTAACTTGTACTTATTGTTTTACCATATTTAAGGAGCAACTAATCTGGACATTAAAGTCCAGTGGTCTTGTAGTGTCTCCAAGTGGTCAAATAATTTTTAGCTGAAATAATCAGAAAGCAGTTTGGGCAGCTGGAGACTGTCAGTAAGTAGGATTACTTCTGGTATTCTGAGATGAGTGGTTTTTCATCAGTGCAGACAGAGAGTCTGCACAGTGTAGCATGAGCTAATACCGTTATTATTGGGTCATTGCTCAACAATTAGCAATGACCCAATAATAATGGGTCATTGTTATTGACCCATTATTATTGGGTCAATAACAACTTGACAAATTAGTACTTGTAGTACTATGGCCGTGGTATTGAGAATAGAGGCCGATTTAGCATGTTGAAAAAAAAGATACAGCACTCGCTTGGCCTAGCTGGAGATCAAACTGTCACGCTATGGTGTGAAATGTTATGAGGACCGATGCTGGAGCAATATTTACTTAAAACTGTGGATCTTCCTGTGCACATCTACTATTGCATGGACTGGTATAGTGACTGGGATTTTTTTTCTCTTTCCTGTACTTTATAATGAGTGCATGGAAACTCCAGAGAACATTCAACCGACCTGATTCTTGATGCCGTCATCTCCAGAGAGATCCGTGGTGTTGAGCTGGAATACCAGAAACTGGAAAATTCTGCCATTGGTCCCCACTGCCTGTACAGTTATGGGGCGCTCCAACAGGCTCTGTGGCTGTGTCTGACACACACACAAAGACACGCATACACACACGTTGTGTAAAACAGATGAATTATCAAGACTAAGGAAAAACAGTGAATGCTCTGACAGTTTTGCCTGGGTGTTTCTTTGTATACCCTTACCCCATACAGTTTGTGTGCGCGTGCCAAAGCATTTCCAAAGGTGAACATAATCATCTTGGCTCTGAACTGCTCTGGGCGAAGCTGACAGTTAGGATCAGATGTCTCCAGGAAGTAAAGTGTGTGGGCATGAGGATAAGGGTATTCTCCTCTAAAACCTGAGCCAATGGGAGAAAAGTGATTAGGACTGGACCAGCTGAGCTCCATCTCAGGGAAACCTGGAGATGACTCACCTGTGTAGTTCATCTCCTCTTTGTACACACTAACTTGTTGAAGGTCGATGGTGGGTGAGACAGGACAGAAGCTTTCCAGGACCCGATCTGATGTCTCTAACACTTCCTGTTCCCCGCAGATCCGAGGAAGAGGATCCATGCTACAGTGCAGCAAACCATTCCGGCCTCTGATCTGGAACAGGTCCTCACCTGAAGACAACCAGGAAACAGAGGATAGCTTACAAAAATTAAGCAACAACAGCCTATATGAGTTCACCCAGTTCCAGATCCAGAGCTTTTCAAAGTGTGGGAGAGCGAGAAATAAACAGCTGCCTCCCCGTATATTATTCCTGAGTTTTTTGTTGCTGCTGTACTTCATGTGCCAGTCAGACATGTTTCACTGATGTGAGGTTTACCCACTTTAGTTCTGGATAGTGCTATATAATATAATGCTTCAGTTGCCTTGTCATGTACTCTGCCAAGATCACTGTTGTGTTACATTTGTAGCTCAGAGTTGAATATTTAGCTTCAAACTCAGGATTTGGCTCGCTAACTAACCATTTAGCTTCAAGATAAATATTTAGCTTGTTAACTAAATATTTAGTTTGAAGTGAAATTTTTAACTAATTATTTGATTTGCTAACTAAATATTAGCTTAAGCATTAGGCCTGTTTACTAAATATTTTGCTTGAAACTCACAGCGTTTCCCTACCACTATCCAGGGGGCGTGCCCCAGGAAGATCATGGCATAGAGGAATTGTAGGAGTTTATAGTTAATCTTGGAGATTTTCAAATTGAAAACTTCTCTATTATTCACACAAAGGGAAATCAAATGAATTAATTTAGATTCTTCAGAGTTATTATAAATGGCGATGGATGTTGGCAGGAAAGATCTCCTGTAGCAATCTGTATTACAGCAAATTTGAAGAAGCCTCTGACTGAAGCCACTCTGTTTTCCCAAGACAGACTCATGAAGCATTTCTAAGTAATGCCCTCCTCTCGCCCCAGAAGATCACGACATATAGTAATTATAGGAGTTCCCAATTAATTTCATTGATTTTATAAGCCTTGTTAGGTAATCCCGGATCCCATTGATTTCTGTTCCTACATGATCACTCTTCTATTTGAAGTAAAGTAGACGAGCTCTACATCTGCTCCGAGCAGATGTAGAGCAAAAACATTTGGTCCTTCTTAAGTAATTACAGTGAACCATATTTGCCATTCGCCATCAATTTTTGGATCGTTTTACCAGGCATAGATCCAAATGTCTGCTGCTTTCTAGGAACTCAAGCTGTTGGTAGTTTCAGGTAGTTTTCTCTTGAGTACGGTCATCAGCGTGACTGTTAACAGTAAAGCATACTGTCTTGGCAGTGTGTCAGAGGTGGTCTGCCGCAAGGGTCTCACCTCACTTCTACATCTGCTCAGAGCAGATGTAGAAGTGCGTGAAAGAGTGCGTGAAATCAGCCATTTTTGCCAAGTAAGCTCATGCAAGCTTGTCACAAATTTTCAAAAGTCCCAACACCAGAGTTGACTATAGATGGTCAAAACCCGTGTTTCTCCTCACCGACATGCGCTGAGTCAGATGTGCTCACATGTAGGTGAAGATGTGTTCCGCCAATCGATAGCGTGCACAGAAAAACAGACGCAAAAACCTGCAGAATAGGCTGGGACATCTGTTTTTAAAAGGTGCTGAGTTTGGTTTTAATGGCAGCAACTTGTTCTCCTGCAAGTAGAATAGGAGTAACTGTTATTGCTGTTAGCAGGCAGGAGTGCACCGATTGCACTATTCTGAGTGACTACCGATAATTAAAAAGTCTGACTGATTTTGGTCTACACTGATGTGTTTCTGTACAAAATAGCTGCAAAGTTGGCCAGAGTTGGCTAACTATTGCTAAATGTAGCCATCTTTCATATAAACAGAAAAGATCAGGGGATAAGACTGATTTTACAGTCTTATCCATAGTCTTATGATTGACCATTTATAAATCATCCAAACCTGAAGAAATCAGGTTCGATCAATCTGCACAGGCCTAAAAACCCCCTCTTCTCCTAAGGCCGCTAAACTGACATTTTAATGAATAACTTGGAGAAAATATAACTTTGAAAAACAAACCTCCATTTTTTCCTCTTATGACAAGCTAAATAACCCAAATTATTGCTATTAAAATTGTGTCTGTGTTACTTTACAAACAGCACCCCAAAGTGGTGCATCTTCAAATCCAACACATGAAAATCACAACTGCAAGTAATTATAGTCATATTTCTTTTTTTTTCTCCTTTGTATTTTTTTCCTTCTTACTCACCGTAAACTTAGGTTATAGAAATCTACCCGTTTAGTCCCTGGCATAGGCTTGGTGAAGTTGGCCAAATGTTTTCTGTTACTTTCTCTGGTTTCATTCATTTTCTCATGTTTTTGACATGCAGATATACCTCGTTTCCAGGTAGCTGCTAATGAGTAATTCTCTGCAAGGATCCTCCTTCCAACGGCTGGGTGAGAGGGCTGCAGGGACGCACAGAGGTGCAGCAGGTTGAGCAGCAGAGTTTTGCTAAAGAATACACACAGGGAGAGATTGTTTTTACATGTTGCAATGGTAAGACCATCATATAATGGAAGTGTTACAATTTTGACCCCATGACCAGTTGCTGTTCTTATGCATGATCATCTTTAAATTCTTAGATTTTCTTCCCTGTTAAAATATACTTTTGAAATCATAAAAAATTATCCTTTCCATTAACAACCTGATTAAGGGCCGGGTCTGACAGACCGACCAGTGGTTCAGAATACTAATTACAATATAAAGATATTTTTCAAAGTGATGCTATCTGTTAGGATTTTTTTATTAAATTAGGGGTGCACTGTCTGCAATTTTCTGGTCGATTGCAGATCACCGATCTGCATTCTTTTCTCTGAATGAAAGTCGCTGAGTTGGCAACAGTAGGGTGACTATTGTTAAATGCAAACATACAGACATGGTCTGGTAACAGTCAAATCTCTCACAGCAGAGAGCACAGCAGTTGATTTTTAGACCTTTGCTGAGGTAGATAAGATCAGCTTCAAATATAGGAATCAGACAATCACAGATCTCCCAAAATTAAGAAAATCAAGATTTTCAGCAGGCCAGTTTAGTCATCCACCCCTAAATTAAATTATTCTAAATGTTATCCATGGAAACCCAGACTACATGGATTTTTATGGAACCCAATATGTAGTCCAGTTCTTCCTGGCAACTTTCCCTGTAATAATATTTCAAAATTTTGGGAAAACAAACTGGGAACAACAAGCTTGTTTTCCCATTCTCTGTGTTGAAGTCCAAACCTAAAGGAGTTTTAGGGGAACATTTTAACACACTAAAATGAACGAGGGGCTTTTCTGCAGGGGAAGTGCTGGAGTCCACTTAAAGTTAGGTTAAACTGGGCAATGGACAACACAAGGTGTCAAGGTGTCAATGAACCACAAATCAAACCTCATTTGTATTTAAGTGCTAGTTCATCTGAGTAGTATTTCAATCTATATTTTCTATGATTATAGTGGATGAGTCAGATTTATTGTTTTTTCTATTCAAAGACTTTCTTATCCTGAACTTTAGTTATTAAGTTGGAATGCTACTAATTATAATCACCTAAATACCATTTTAATTATGACAATTAATTCTCAGTCAGAACCAGCCAATTTGGTCAAATACTGGGAAAACAATTATTTTATGTTTAGTGAATATATCTAAACTGAATTCACCCACTGCTTTAATTTGCTTAATGCAACAACAAACAGTATGTCATTAATGCTTCTCTTATTTTAAGAGAAGCATAATGAATAAACGTTACAGACATATGGTTTTATTCATAAACGGGAGCAATCTGGTACTCTCTTCAATTTCTGGTGGGATATAAAACTACAACTACACCTGCAGAGTCTGCTATCCACTGGCTATGGACAATCTTGACACAACAAAAAAACAGAAGTCAATATCAGCCATTTAATTCATCTCTACTTGTGTGAGGAGTCAAAGTTCACTCTTTCAGAGGATATAATTGAACTGGTCTGACATGTTGCTGGTACACAACTATTACAATTATTTGATGATCTATAGTCAGATGTTTCTGAGTAATAATCAGTGCTCTGGAACATCTCTGCATGATGCTTACGTCTTAATATGCCTGAACAGAAAGTCTTCCTCTCTAAATGAGTTCTGTTGTCTTTTCTTCTTATTCTCTTTATTCACATGTGATGTGGTGAGTGTGCTCATGTTGTTTTTTTCCTTAAAAATAAAGCAGTTGGATTGCAGTCCACTCTAATGTTGCCCCTTTACAATCATGTCCATTAATTAACTTTTTCATTTTGTCTCACTCAATCCTCATGAAAAAAGGACAGAACTAGTCTTCAATGGTTCAGTACGTTTTCCTGAAGATTTTGAAAAAAAAAATCCACCTGTTTAGAATGTTCAACTGTGTATTCAGCATCTCAACCCCTTTAATCAGTGAGCCACCTGTATTTCTCCTTTCTCGGCCGTGGCTCCGTTGTGTCCCAGAACCGTGCGTGTTTGATGGCGTTCTGCACGCGCTCGTCCTGGTTGGGCAGCTGGTTTTCAGGTTTTGCGGCCAGAGAGACGAGGTGAGGCAGCAGACCAGGGCTCAAGTGGGTTTTGGTCAACCACGCAGCCTGGCGCACACCTGTAACACATGTGAAAAGAAAGAAGCTTTGCTGGAATAATCTAATCACAGGTCAGCCTTGATGCTCATCCTGATGTTACAACCAATAGTTTATCAAATAATAAAACCTTGCTTATTTTCAGATACGTTTCCAAATTAAAATCACTTTTATAGTGTTTGAAATGTATTTAATTAACTTCATTTTATATATTAAAGTACAACTTGATAGACACAATGCTATGTTAAAGGCTTTAAATGTCTTATCTTCCTTATATTAATAATTATTAAACAGTTCTGTTATTTTTCACAGCACTGTGATATGAAAAAAGTGACGTTCTGATAAAAGTAGCTGATCAGAATAAAAAAACCCATTCACAAATCCAACATGTTTCAACACCAACAGCTCTGTCTGCTACAATCAATCAATCAAATTTTATTTGTATAACACATTTCAGCAACAAGGCATTTCAAAGTGCTTTACATCATAAACACAAAAACACAAAGTCATACAACATAGAATAAACAATATATTGTTCCATATTACATTTCAAATACAATTCTAAACAGGTGTGTTTTTAGTTGCGATTTAAAGGAAATCAGGGTTCCTGCTTTTTTTTTACAGTTTTCCGGAAATTTGTTCCAAATTTTTGGTGCATAGATGCTGAATGCTGCTTCTTCTATTTTGTTACTGGTTCTGGGGATGCAGAGCAGACCAGAACCAGAACCTGAGAGGTCTTCTGGTTCTGGTTCTACAATAACACGTTTGACCTCTCAAATATCAAGACTTTCATTTCTAGCGAATATCTTTCACTGGAACTGGAAGACCCTCTAAATATTCCAAACGAAAGAACAAAACACCCGAAACAACAAATAAAATGGATCATGAAGTAAACAGATTTTCCCTTCAAAAAAGGGGCTAGTTGAGACCAATGGGCCATACTTTTGTTAAACACACACAGAGAAAACAAGCAATCGTGAAGATGAAAATTATCCACCTCGTTTTAATTTATTATGTTGTTAACTGATTTATTGCTTGTTGCGATAGACTCGTCAATAGCTTGTTTTAAGGCAGTCAAAGAACAGCAGCCTACCTTCCAGTATGCTGGTCCTCTGGTTGAATACATAGCACGGTTTGTCTTTATACAGCGCCATCTCCTGAGCGGGTGGAGACCTGTAGAGCCTCGGGTCCTTGAAGCTCATCTTCCACGGAGAATAAACTGGCTTAGCCAGGCCGGGGATATAGTGCATTCGATCCCCGTAAGTCACCATCTTCAGTCCCGGGATTTCCACCTTCTCCCTTTGTTTCTTCGGATGGGAAACATTGGCTGCCAAGCAGTGGCTGACTCTGAGGTTTCTCCGAGTCTGAAGGCTGCTTGGTGCTCCCTGTGCGGACAGTTTGGAAGCATTCAGGAAAACATTTGGAGAAAACAGAGAAACTGTCGCTTTTAGATAGTGTGTCGCTTCTGGGATCATGATGCGGTCAAATTTCCTCGGTTGTTCGGAAGATTAAAAATTCTTTTGACAACTGTGGCCTTCACGAAAAGACTCGAGTGCTTTCAGGTGGCCGCCATGATGGCGTTTCTTCGTAACTGCTGCTGGTTACAGGAGCCATTAGCGCCCCCTACAGGACTGGAGCGTTAGACTTTTTTATATTAAACTGCACAATTGTACAAGATCACGTAGAATGTGCATACATGAAAGAATCCAGTCTTACAGGCTTAAGGCACACATATAATTATAAGACAACAATAAAAAAAGTAAAGTAAAAATATAATTAAATATAATTTGTCAGACATCAACAGCAAAACGACAAAAACAAACAGAAAAAGACAAATTAGTCCTTAAATAAATTCAGATCATTATAGGGATCCAAGAGCTGCATTCCATTCTTGTTATTCATCAGTTTTGAAGGTTCTGAAGTGGTTCTCCATTAGAAGGTTTTTAAATGCTGAAAAGTCAGGTTTTCTATTTCCCCTTTTACAGGAGTGGATGAAGAATTTTGCAAAGATCAGCAAGTTGTTAGGAATGTGGTCAGTTCTTCTTTCTGTGGATGGGTCCAAATATTATATCCTCTCTTTTTAAGGGATAAGGTAGAGAATGTTTTGATGAGATCCAGTCCAGAAAGTTTCTCCAAAATGTTCCAGTTTGCACACAATTGAAAAAGAGATGATCTGTTGTTTCAATGTCATTGTCACAGAAGGTCCAGCTGTTAGTATCAAAGTTGAATCTCTGTCTTAATAGTTCCCTGGATGGAGAAATGTTATTGAGAATTTTAAAATGAACCTCTTTAGCTTTAGAACTTAGAGTGTATTTAAAGTCAACAAATCTCCACTTGTTAAATTCTGAATCAGAGAACACATTTAAAATGGAGTTTTTATTTGGTCAGACAGGAAATATTAAATGTGTTAGATGCTAATGCATCCATTTGTCCAGAAGGTTAACTCCAAACAGTTGAGGTAATTGAAGGTTAGCTCATTGAATGTTTGTATTTTGAACCAGATATTTGACTGCAGTGGGGTCAGAGTTTATTACTGTTAAACTGAGTGTGTGAGCAATCCAGATTATAAAATAGGCAAAATTTGTCATATGACAACTAATCTCCATTGTCATTAAGAAAATGTCTAATGGACCAGATACCTTTTCCCATCCAGTGATCCAAAATCAAACACTAATTTCTGTGTAACACATATCTATTGTTCCAGATGGAGTTTGATGAGGAGTAAAATTATTTGTGTTCATAAGTTTCCAACACAACAAAACCTGCTTCTGAAAGGCAGATAACTTAACAGGAAGTCTGTCAACACCAAAGTCACATCAAAGAACAAAATCTATACATCCAATTTTTAAACAAACCTCTGGGGAGACAAAACCAGATACTACTTCCATTCATTAGAAAAGATTTCAATCAATTTACTACAGACGGCATTTAAGTTAAATGTAACTAAATATCCTCTGATTTCACATTTTTATCCCCTTTTCTGCACATTTAAAATATTTTTTAATTTCTTAACATAAAAATCATTCAAAGTCAATGGCTTGCAAACCAATTTTATTATATTTGCTTTCTTTAAGTAGTGGACCCGATTTTTCCAGAAGAAATTAAAGTTCAGCTGATTTATAGCTTTAATGTATTTGTTAGGTATGGCCATAGAATAAGCTGGGTATGTGCATCGGAACAGCGACTCTATTTTGGTTGAACAGGTTCTTCCAAAAAGGGTCAGATCTCTTTGGAGCCATTGATTTAACTGTATTTTATTCTCTGTGTTAACAGTTTCACTGAGTTTAGCATCTTTAGTTATTAAAATTCCAAGATATTTAACTGAGGATTTCATGGGAATACCATAAATTTCTGTCAGATCAGAGTCATGAATCACCTTATACCTGCAGGTTTAAGGTGATTCATGACTCTGATCCTGATGTTTTGGAGAAACATCAGGAGTTATTAACTCAAGTTATTAATTGAGTTAATAACTGTCGCTTCGTTTTAATTTATTATGTTGTTAACTGATTTATTAACAACTAACCCTAACCCTAACCCAATTAATAACTCAAGTTATTAATTGAGTTAATTAATTGAGTTAATTAATTAACTCAAGTACTTTAGGGGTATAGACTCTTCAAAAAATGTGATGTCATCAGCTAGTTGACTGATTATAATTTGGCCATCTAAAACTTTAAATTTAGGTATATTTGAGTTTTTTATGAAAATATTCATCACTTCAAAGACCAGGATCAAGAGAAAGAAGGAAATATTGCAGCGCTGTTTTACTCCCCTATTAATGGAGAAACGTGGAAACGTAGCGTGTGGCAGCGCAACTGAACTTGTGGTGCCATTAAAAAAGTTTTTTATTATCTGCAGAAGTTTGGCCTGAATCCAAGCATAAAACTTTGAAAAGAAACTGATGCTCCAACATATCAAAGGTTTTGAAGAAGGAAAAGGATGAAGCCTTTATCCTCAATCAGGTCACTGTACTGGAGTAAATCCTGCACCAGTCTGATGTTATCATGTATAAATTTTTTGGACACAAAACTTGTCTGTGTTTCAGAAATAACATCCTTAAGACCAGAGTTTAGTCTATTTGTGTAGATATACATCAATAGTTTATAATCACAGTCCATCCATCCATTTTCTGATCATCTTCTCCCTAACGGGGTCGGGAGGTGCTGGTGCCTATCTCCAGCTGCGTTCCGGTCGAGAGGCGGACAACCAATCATGCACACACGCACTCACACCTAGGGAGAATTTGGAAAGACCAATTAACCTGACAGTCATGTTTTTGAACTGTGGGAGGAAGCCAGAGTACCCAGAGAGAACAGGGAGAACATGCAAACTATGTGCAGAAAGACCCCGGGCCAGGAATCGAACCCAGGACATTCTTGCTGCAAGGCAACAGTACTACCAACTGCACCATAGTCCAAAAACATGACTGTCAGGATAATTGCTCTTTCCAAAATAAGTGATGGGGTGGATGGTGGTAAGAGTGAAAGTGTAGAGGGGGAGAAAGACGGTGTGCAGGGAGAGTAGGAAGGGGTGAGGGGCGATGAGGAGTATCTAGCGATCAATTAATTGAAACAGACTGGGGCAGAGAGAGAGGGGGGAGGTCATTTTAAGCCACGGCACCTCCCAGAGTGCCGGGGTGGGCTTCCTCTTTCCCAAAGCTGAAGTTGAACATGTCATACAGGGGAGGTGTCTTTTAGTTAAAGCAGTTTGATTATTTTACCATGGTTTTTATTCATATTTATGCGGCCATTACCAATGCAGAGAAAAAGCTTTTTTTTTTTTTTAAATTGGAGAAAGGTTCAGTGATTGTGGGTCTGAGGATTGTGATTTTATAGGCGGGGATCTTACTTGTACTAAAAATGAGTTTTCAGACCGTAATCATGCAGAGCTGCATCCGGCGGCGGCCCAACATGCTCTGCGGCAGCTGGTCTCGTCTCATGGTCTGGTGGACGTATGGAGGAGGATGAATGCAGGCCCCAGGCAGTACACATGGTCCCACATTAAGGAAAACTGAATTTCTTTAGCTCAACTTGATCATTATTATTGTTTTACACACCATTTCAAAATGTTTAAAACATGCCAGATCTTACCGGTGGCTTTTACAGATCACAAGTTGCTTTTAGGTAGTGTTTTTATTAGAAACATTTTACCTAGAAGCGCTTACTGGCATTTTAACTCAGCTTTAACTTATGATCAGGATTTTAATGAGACTTTCAGTTATTTTTAGACAGAGGAAGTCTGATTTTACCTGTCTGAGACAGTGGTGGGACCATAGGAAAGTTCAAATAAAACTGCTGAGTCAGCAGCACACTGTCAATGTCACCCGTGACATTACCAGATCTATCAGAGATCTGGAGATGAATATCGTGGAGTTAGAACAACTTAGTGAATCCACAGGAAATCGAGAGCACATTGAGGTTCTCAAATCTAAAAGACTAATTTTAGCAAATCTGCTGGAAAATAAAGTCCAAGGTGTATTGGTCAGGTCCCTGATCCAGAACATCACAGAGATGGATGCTCCCTCTAGCTTTTTTCAGCTTGGAGAGGAAGCATGGGCAGAGGAAGCTGATCCGATCTCTGCTGTCGGACACAGGGCAGCAACTGAGTGAACCAGTTGGAGGAGGGCTGCGGAGTTTTACCGTTCTCTATTTCACAGTGATTACAAGGAGAACGAGGACATGTTCCGGGAGTTCTGCACTGAACTACCTCAGGTCTCTGAGGAGACCAACACCAAGCTGGAGCGCCCCTTAGGGCTTCAGGAACTCCACACAGCCCTCCTCAGCATGCAGGGCCAAAAGTCCCCAGGCATCGACGGGCTCACAGTGGTTCTACAAGGCCGACTGTGGCTAAAGACCTGCTCAAAGTATACAGCAAGAGTCTGCTAACTGGTTCACTTCCCTTGTTCTGTCGCAGGGCAGTCATCACTTTGCTGCTCAAAAAGGAGAACCTGCAGAACATCAAGAACTGCATGTTCTTGATGTGCCACAGCATCACACCAACTGGCCAGCAGAACAGCCACATTTTGTTTCCAGTTACTTCAGAAGTTCCTGACAGGATCTCCTGTGCAGAGGGATGTGGCCAGCTGCATTCTCAGACGTGTTCATTTTTTGGGACTGGATGCTACTCTGTTTCTAACTGATTTTAGTCTCTTAAAGTTAAAGGGTTGGCTGAGTTTATCAGAGTGTTTTTAAATCGTGTGCTTTTTTAAACTGCACAGATCAAAAACACATAATTCTCTCCATTGGCTTTTTGAAGAACCATCAGTGCAACAGATTGGTAATCTGTCCAGGATGACCCCACCTCTCGCCCAGAATGTAGCTGGAAATAGGCACCAGCACCTCCCAGCCCCAGTAGGAACAAGGATGACCAGAAAATGGATGGATGGAAGAACCATTAGTGTGTGGCACAAGACTGGACGTCCAGGACAGAACCGTACCAGGCCTTTCTCAGGCATTGTCCTGCTCTGGGATGGTCACTCTGCGGTGGCTGGTGCAGGTGGAAGAGGTTGGCTCGCTGCTTGGGGTCCAGTCCTCCAGACTGGTGCAGCTCTTCCTGGAGTGGACGAAGGAGCGAATGACA